TAATCTTTGACATTATACCAGCATTAAAGATGCGTAGCGTATGGGCATGATATGTGCACCTGGGGACCAAAGTAGAACATGCAAATAACCATTGCTCACATCTATTTTTATGGATAAAACCCCTGAATTTTTGAAGATCATTCCAGAAAGAGTCTTTTTTTTTTTTTCTTTTTTCCCCAAGTGGTTGAAAATCAGTAACTGTGAAAAACAGTGAAGATGTTTTTCTATGTGGAAAGGCTTTATTTTCCTATTTTCCTACGTGGTTATACAGTTTATTCAGGGTGATTTAGATTCCTAGGACTAGGGCATCTCAACAAAGAAACAGCTACTGACAAAACTATTGATAAGGTAGAGTTTTGTGGAGGCAGAGCTTTGGTTTGGGCTGTGAGTGATCAATCAAATTTAGCAATGTATTTAGAGAAGTCATTTTTTTGTAGAAAACAAGTAGTTTTCTTGTACATTTATCAAATTCCCTAAAATAGGTACTAGAGGTCTTGGACACTGAAACTCCTTTCTTCCTTTGGAAAAGCTGGTGATTTGAAAGTAGTAGGAAAAGATTTCAACATAACAGAATCACAACCGATTCTTTTTTCATTTTTCCCCATGTATATCAACCACCTATTTTTTGTGTCTGACAAACCCAAACTTGCGTGCCTTGGAGAAAATTGAACCCTGTTGCCATGTAGTAGAGCTTTTCCACCACTCCTGTGATATTTTTTGTCTCTCCCTGAGCACAGCAGACATATCTGACTCAATTCATTAATTCATTGAGGCAAAGCCAGTGATTTCTGCCACAAAGATGATCGCAGTGGTTGTAAAATCACTGGGAATAGCCACACTGTGCAGGCATCTTTCAGTCAGAGGCATGCCTTGACCATAACCTGAAGAGGAACTCAGTAGCATAGACCTGAAAGGTGCCCAGCTCCATTTGTATGGCCACAGGTGTAAGAAAGGAAACAGAGCGGAAGCCATATGTAGCAAGTCTGGCTTCCAGCTCCCAGGCTCGACATGCCACATATTTGTATGTGGAGTTATGGGCAAATATATATTTTAATATGCTGCAAATAAACTGTGGTTGTAGCTCCTGAAGCTCTCTGCACATACCCCAAACCATATCCAGTAATTTCTATAGTAGCTCATGCAGTCTGCATAGGTAGCTGGCTTACTGAGTTTTCTGCATAGCACCTGGCCTGCCTGGAGAGAGCACATAAACACCTCTTTGCCTTCAGCAAGTAGGAAATGTCCCAGAGCATCTATTTTTACCAGAGTGAGGGTGAGCTGCCATGTTACAGTCGAAACAAAGAGTAATTAGCAATTCATTGAAAAGATACAAGAAAAGAAATCATACAAAGGGGAGTCCTTGCTGCTATCTCACTTTCCTGATTCTTATCTTTTACTTCCTATTTCTGGCTTTTCATTTTGGACTTTGCAGCTCAGCTTCCTTTCGGTGTTTCCCTTTGAATCTTTGCTTCTCGTGTAGCATTGTGCTTATGGCTTTTTGTAAAGGAAGCCTGGGAAAAGGTTGGATCATTCAGGAATGTACGGTAATATATTTTTAGTTTAGGGACTGCCTCTTGGAAATAAGCAACAAGGGTCATGTATTAATCCTTTTCCTATGTTTAAAGAGATATTAATGCTTCCTGCTTAACCACCTTTATGTGTTCAAAAGACTGGATAACAACAGTGGCCAGAATGCTTAAGTTCAGAAGAACTGAGGTGAATTACTCTGTTTTTCAGAGTAAAACAAACAAAGCCTTACAGTATTTGCCTAATAAACAGACTTGTTTACCAGCACAGTTTAATCATGTACCATGAGGTATGTCACTTCATGGGGACCTTGTGGGGTCAAACAACTGGGGTCACGCTTCTCAGAGGGCATAAATACAACCTCAAGACTCCCCCCCTCCCAAGCTGCTTTTGATTGAGAAATTGGTTATTTGCCAAAGAACTAGAAAAAATGTGCTCTGAAGTATTCAGCTGGAAACACACTTCACAGCTCAGTGATGCTAAAGCAGTGATTGCTCAGTTCCCTGTAGCATTGAACCTAAAGGCTGAAAACTTTTCTGCTTCCATAAGAAATGCCAAACATTATATATGGTGAAGTAATTATGATGTAAACTGGCACCAAGACAATTTATACCATAAATTTGGGAAAGAAAAATTAGCTCTGATATGATCCAGAAAATCTTCCACATTTAAAGTATATTTATACCACAGGTTAAATAATGGTGCCAACTTTTCTGCTGCTGATAGCTGGGGAAGCTTTATTAATTCCCATTGCACCAATTTCAAGAGAGAACTTAGTTCAGGGCCTTGCGTTATAATGCTGTTCATTGCAAAGAAAACCTTAATGGATTCAACAGGTAAACCAACAAAGAAACATTAAAATTAGAAGGAGTGATATTGGATTTATTTTGCAACCTAATCGCTAGACAATGTGAAAGATCTGCAATACCATTATTTTCTCCATGCCACTCATGTATAAGACAGATCTCTATTTCTTCATATTGTTTTCTTCCATTACATGTGTTTTTTTATCCATCATAATAATTTACTTTGGCTTCTAGCTCCAAGCACAGAATACAGTTTCCATCTTAGTCCAAATAATATTGGAGAGTTGCTAGGGGAGTGTGCTGATTTCTTTTACGATTTCTTTTCCTCACCACATCTGTCTGTAATTTTTTTTATTTATCATCTCCCTAGGACATTTTTCCGGCTAGAAACCCAAACATGAAATGCAGCCGTTTCAGACCTTTTGGTGTTTTATATAAAGAGCATTTCCTAAATATATTTACAGAACATGATTTTATCAGCTGGTGGTTACTACCAGGCAGAAACACTAAGTGCATGTATGGGTGGGTCTGCACACTCCCCTGTTATCTTCTCTGAGGGAGCAAGCAGGTATGAGTTTAAAGGCAGGTGTGAACTAATTTATGGAAGACTTAAGGGATGGCTCAAGGGAGGGCCTTCCTGCTGCCCTGTGAGGTCTCCTGCACTAAGCATGCAACCTGCTTCTTTGGGCTATTCCACACTTGCGAGCAGATTTGGCCAGGGAACTGAAATTGTTCCTGCCCTTAGCTGTGCTCCCTTGCCCTCTGACTGAACTTAGTTTTTCTCTCCCACTGAGGGGACTGTCCAGTGGGATTATGTGGGCTCCTCAGGTCCACGGCATGTCCTATTAGTATAAAGCAATGTCAGTTTTAGTTAATGCTAGCAGAAATGGGCAGTGGTTTATATTGCCTTGCTGAGTTGTGAACTGCGGGGTGATGTTGGGTTGCACTTTGTTTTTGAACAGGCTTTTGCCATGTTTTAGTTGTGATGGGGGTCATCGGTAAGCACATCCATTTCTAATTTATCTGCTCTTTGTAACCTTGCACTTTTGTTCCTCCTTGGATTTTGCGTGCCAGCTTCACTTCCATGTTTGAAGTTTCCACATCCCAGAGGACAGCTGCATTGGATTTTGAAGATAAAATTATTTGCTACTACTAATTGCTGTAATCTCATAGCTAACAATAGTACTCTGTTGGTTACACAAGACTTCAATGTAATGCTTTAATTTTTACACTTTAAATTCACTGATCAGTCCAAGATTACATGTGAACACAGGCATGAACTAGTGCATGTAAACATCTGCCACCTGGCAACTGTGATTAGAAGAACTGTATTTTAAGTAATTATATACTGTATAAGGTGGATGCCTGCAAATGTTTGACCAAGTATAGTCTACCTTTGACATATGTTAAACATATTAGGTCTCCTCTCCTCTCCATGTTCTTCTACCCATGTATACCAGAATTATATGAAAAACCTACCCAAATTCAATATACTGTATGTTGGTTTTCTCATCTTCTTTGCGAGAAAGGAGTTCAGCTTTTTGTTTGGGATCTATCAGTTCACATTTGCATTCATGAAGAAAAGGCTTTCCTGCTCTCTATTTCCAGCATAGCCCTTCATTTTATTTGGCAGCCTACTCAGTGGCTGAGTACGTACATTGCTCGAGTGGGCAGTGTACTCAGCCCACTCGAGACACAGGGTTCCCAAATAGCAAGCTGGTCACAACATACAAGTTTAGATTGATCTGATTCCCACTAACTTCAGTGGTAGCAACTTTTGGCATGCAGAGATTTATTTATGGCTAGCTTTACTTCTTTTTCCCTTTCCTGTAGATCTTTCTTTAGAGCAGAAATTTCCATCTCTCCGGTGGCTCATCTGTTACACTGAACTCTTTGGTTGTTTGCTGTTTCTTGTCAAGGCTCTAGCAGCATGAATAAATCTAAAAGGAGGATGGAGGAAATTGAGACTTATTTTCTGTTTATTTACACAAATGTCATTGAAGAGCAACATCAGGGCATCCTGTAGAGTTTGACCAGATAGAAATGGTGTAAAGAGGAGGAGAATGAGCTCCCTTGGATCTATGTTGAGGCTGTGCAGACTGCTGGTGATGGATGTGAATTTCCCCCTTTGGTTGTGAGGTCGGGGCAGCTCACTGATCATTCGCCTGAACTTCCTGTGGAAGACCCCACAAAATGCTTGTTTCTGTCTGACCTGTTTTAAGTTCTAGCAGTAATTGTTGAGTGAAATGTTTAATTCATCTCCTCCTAAATACTGATTAAAAAGCACCATTTCGATGCAGGCAGGGAAAACACTACTGAAGCATCTGAGCTTGGCTGTTAAATTACACAATCTCACTTTGTTCCTTAATGTAACTGTCCACATCCTCTCAAAGGGGATAGCAATGATTTATTCTTTTAAAGATTATTCTTCCAGCAGGGAGATGATTCAGTGTGATTTTCTTCTGGCCAAGTGAGCTGTGCTAGTGAGGCAGAGCTCTCCTGTCAGCAGTGCGCCCTGTGATAGAGCGATCCCTGTCCTGCAGGAAGGTAATGCACCCTACTCAGTTTCTTTTTTCTTCGGTTGTGTGTTGTGGGGTTTTTTTCTTTTCTTTTGGCAGATGTCCTTGAGCATTTGAGACGGATGTGAGAGAGTTTTTAGTCCTCATGCAAAACAACCAACTAAACATAACAGATTACATCAGCTCAGGCTTTTCAATTCCTGGATGGCAGCAGAGTGCTAATCCAACCTTCATCCTGGATTTCATAAACTGAAACAAGGGAGGCTGGCAGGAGCAGCGCTGCCGGATTGAGGAAGCTGACGACGGTGCAGCATGTGGGCAACACACTGTATAAAGCTCATAAACTTGTAGGCTGATGTGTGCAGCTACCACTTTGGATTCTGTACTGCTGCTTCCCTCGGCACAAGGCACCAGCAGGCTGAGCATTAAAGCCTGCTCTTCGGAACTGAGCATTTACCCCTGCAAGACATGAAGGGCTTCCTGTTTCTCACACTCCTCCTGATGCCCGTGCACGCTGGAACTGCTTGGAGTGCGAAATACGCAGTAGATTGTCCTGAGCCCTGTGACAGTAACGCATGCAAAAGTACCTTGCGCTGTAAGAGAACAGTGCTGGATGACTGTGGCTGTTGCAGAGTGTGTGCAGCTGCTCTGGGGGAGACTTGCTATCGTACGGTCTCGGGTATGGATGGTGTCAAGTGTGGTCCTGGGCTGAAGTGCCAGTTTTACACTGAGGAGGATGACTTTGGTGATGAATTTGGTATCTGCAAAGGTAACAATATTCACTTTGCATGCACCCACCTTGGCAATTTGACAGCAGCCTACATGTATACCTTGCCTCCTGCTTGAAAGGTCTAAAATGGGATTTTTCCAGCTCATCACTTATCCAAGAAGAATGTTTAAAATACAGGTGTTACATGTAGGAGGACAGGGTTATTAATGTGAGAATATTGTTTAGATTTGGGGACAGGTGTGAGGAAATATGGATGGGGTGTGTTTGGAAATGAGATTTTTGACTGGGACTTGAGAGATGCAGGCACTAGTCCTGATCCTTCCACTGATTTGGTGGGTGGCTTTCTATAAATTGCAAAGACTTTAATCCTGCAAGTCCAACCTTGTCACCAGGTCCCTGCTCCTACTGCACTCTCCCTGGGGTGAGGTTCCTTTGGGCACTGCCTGCTGCCTGCCCGGGGACCAGGTACTCTCTCTGGGGTCTGAGAGATGGAGATAACAGCACCCCCGAGTGCCTGGGGACATTGTTTTGTTTAATTCAGTCCTGCCTTTGAGGTGCTCAGCTACCCTAGGGATGCTGTCAGGGGAGGCAGAGACCTTCCTGCCTGAAAGATGGGAATAACAGAACAGGAGCTGACTGAGAGATGAGCAGCCAGCTACCGCTCTCAGCTTATTCCAGGTATGCTGCATGCTGATTTCCTTAGTCATAGACTAGAATAGCATTTTTCATTTAAGAGCGATCCACACTCCATGCAAAAAGGAGAGGAGAAGTAGGATGAAAGTTTTTTAAAATAAATCATTTTAAAAAAAGGTTTTGCAAAATGTAAATGCAGTGAGTTTTCCTGTGTTCATGTACCACCTCAGTAAGTAGATTACAGATATGCCTTTGAATAACTTCCTTAGAAGTGAAGATGTCTTGGCAGTTAAATATCAGGAGTATTAATAGCCTCAGTTAAAGTAATGACTTAGGACCAGATGCTGCAAAAGTCATTTAGGCTGACTCACATATAGCACACACTTATTTACATTGGTATTTAAAAACAAATTCATGTGCATGTTTGAGAGTGAGACTCAAAATACTACTTTTATTTCTAAGGACTCAGAATCTATGCATATAAATGTCATTATCTTTGGTACACACACCAGAAAAGTGTTTGACTGAGATAGTTGTCTGATCTTCGGTTTATTGAAAGTTATTGCAGTGCGAGGTATGCCTATAATTCTTCTAACAGTTCTTTTGGATGATTATATAGTTTTCAATGTCCTCATAGGAATTTCTTTCCAATAGCACACTTCAAATGGGAAAAAAGAAACACTGAGAGGCATGAGATCTGAATCCCTGCAGCTGAATCTTGGAAGCTCTGTGGAAAATATTTTTTTACTTATTCCCAGCAAGTCAGTGGAAAAAGCCGTATCTTGACTTAGAGTTGTAAATTGGTATCTGAGGATTGTATTCCCATATATTTATTTGCACTATTATTGATGTAATTTCCAATTCCTTTTCATTTTTTCATGTCAGGTCTGAGATAGTACAATGTCTTTCTGTATGAATGTGAATTTTATCAGGCAAATTATGAGGCCAAGTATTATTTTTTTATATCCACTATGATATCATATCACTCATTTTGATAACTTCCATGTTTGTACTAATTCACAGGGTCAGGATGGCTGGCTTTATTGTCTCCAATGTCTGCCACTCATTTACTTTGAAGTTGTGAAAAAATGATCTGAACTCTCTGTTCTTCAATTTCTTATTTTTAAAATGTGAAAGGCATGGACAGAATAAGTTTCAGAGCAATTTTTTGAGCACTTTTAGTATTACAAGACTGATAATATAATGATCATATTATTATCAATAGCAATGCCGTAACTGTCCAAACCAGACTAAGAAATACTGGTTCTCTGCACTTTTGTTACTAAATACCTTCTTTACCTGCTGTATAACTGTCACAGTAAAGACCCTGCTCTTGCACCCCCTTAGATCAGTAGGAGCTGCTTCTGCTGAACAAAACCTTCTAACAGCAAAACTGACTCAGATCTCGGTTTTATCAAACCTGAAGAGCAACATCAATGACAGATTATTCCACATGGAGCCAACTGCTTTGTCTCAGACTTGTTTCCTTGTTGCTGTGCACAGCACTGCATCCCACCACTCTGAGCTGAGCAGCTGAACACCTGCAGCAGGCAGATTGATGCTCCATGTGGTGTGTGCTCTCAGTTTGTCCCTCGGGGAGAATTGTGCACACAAAACCTGTTTCACTTTGGCAAGGCTTTGTTTTTGTTTTATGTGGACCAACAGCAGATCAAAGAGTGTCCTTGCTTGGAAAGGGGAGTCTGGGGAAGCTCATTGAGGTGATCCAGGCTGGAGGGATTCACCATGCAGTTGCTACAAGGGAACTGGTCAATTTTACAGCGTTTTCATTTATAAAAGTATAACCTCTGGACATGCAGAGAATTGTAAAATATTGATTTTATTTTGGGGCATTAACCTGATTTTCAGATAGCTGCACGGCAAAACTAAATATTTGCGCTGATTCAAAAGGAGACTGGGCAAGCTCAGAAGGATAGCACTGTTGTGGGGTTATATGCTGAGAAACCACATCTGTCTGAGGAGGTCCCAGAACTGAAGATGGGGGAGAATATGATAAAGGAGGTATAATTTCTGCTTATCACAGTGATCTTCCCTCAAGTGTTTTGTGGGAACCTAGTCCAGCCCTGAATGGTCGTGCATCGGCCCTTAGGAGCTGAATTTGAAACTCTCCAGGACTTGCCATTTAAGGTGACCATGTACCCCAGGTTGGCAAGAACAGGCTGGGCATAAGGACCTTTCCCCTGGGACATCCCAAAATTCTCTTGTGATGATCTCTTGCGTGGGGGTTTGGAAAGAGGACAATGGAGCTGGGTTTTCCTTGTCTCCATCTCTTCAGCTATGGTCCTGGGAAGATACCCTGTTCAACAGCAAGGCAGAGGAAATCAAGGGCTGTGACCCCAGGTTTAAACCCTCTGGGAAGTTATGTGGTCCAGCAGAATATGTGTCAGCTATGGAATAGGGCAAATCCTCTGCACCTGACTTAATTTTTTAAGAAGCATTTTGTCCCATCCTGATAGTTGCCCTTTGGTGCTCCTCTGTGAGCTTGCTCAGGGACAGGAGATTTGAACTGGGGCAGATGACTAGGTGACCAGATGCAGGTATAACCAGCAGCTGCCTTAGTGCCAGTTATCCCTTTACTGCATACTCACTTTTCAAGCTGGAGATGTAGGTGAGTTCTTTGCTATCTGCTGTGGGAAGTCAGACTTCTGTTGTATGAGAAGCCATCGGGTAGGGGAAGGCTCTTCCCCAGGAGCCAGGAGTGCCTCCAGCAGAAAGGTGCATTTGCTGGATAGTTCCTCAGGTTTGGGCAGCAGTCTCCACTGAGCAGATAAGCAGTGGCCCCAGCCACAAGCTGCCCATGGCAGCAATAAATTGCTGCTCTAAATCATGACAGTCATATAAGTAACACAGTTATCATTCCCAAACAGTGAATTCAGGAACTTTCTGAAGTTTTCTTTTCTAAATCCAATGTTAATCCTTTATGACTATATACTTACATATTCATATTGCCTTTAATTTGCATTTCAATATTACAAGTGTTTCACAGAAGAATTACTAATAACACATTGGAAGTAAGTTATAGGAAGAGAAATTGTGTATATAATGTGTGTCAAGGTTTGTTAAAACTGGAAAATACTTGTAATAAGCAGATGGCTTGCTGAAATTCTTCAGTTAATGTTTAGCTGATCTCCACTCAAAGGTTTTCCCCTTTTAAGGATATAAGCAGATAGGCTACTAAGACAGCAGCTAACTTGGATCACTGAGGACTGTTTTGCTATATTACTTTTTTTCAGAGTGTCCCTACGGTACCTATGGCATGGAATGCAGGAAAACCTGCAACTGTCCCTCTGGCATCTGTGACAGAGTAACTGGGAAGTGTCTGAAGTTTCCGTTTTTTCAACTGTCTGCTTCCAAGCCTCCAAACCGACGAAAAATCGTCTCACACACAGGTAGGACTTTGTTGGGCAGTTGGTTTTAGCAGAAATCACCTTGTACGTGGTTTACTGCCATGCTGTGTACGCTGCGTGTGAGCCGTGTACTTTGCTGGAGCTGTGCAAACAGCTAACTGCACACAGTACATTTATGCTCCTTATTGGCAGCTCCCCTAACATAAGGCAAGGAGTTAGGTAAGCTGTGACACATGCTAAAAACATTCTGAAATCCCAACAGGGGTGAAATACTTCACAACTGTTGCATGTGCTAGGAGTACGGCATCTTGTGTGCAATGGGAAGCTATGCCAGGGTTTGCATTAGTCACTTGAGATGTGGTGCATGTACCTGCTATGTGTAGGATTTCACTAAGTTTTACTACTGTTAGCTAATATATGGCAAAAATAAAATCCCAGAGCTTTATACATTTCCAGATGTCAGTAGGCTGTTTTATTGTAGTAATTTATAGCATTATTTCTAGAATAAATTCTTACCTGTAAGATTATGTCTGAAGCCTGAAACCAGAACTTTTCAGAATTAAAACTGCAGAGTTTTTGAAGCAGAAAAGAATTTTTTAAAGCTGGGATTAAAATTTCTTCCTGTTTTATTCTCCACATGATGCTACAGAGGTATATTTAACTGAACAATGCTCACTCTAAATTTAAAATATCAATCAATATAAATATGAATATGTTAAATAAATATCAAAGATTTAATCATCGATCTACTGGGATCTTTACTAGGATTTCACCCCAAAGTATTCAAATTTTATTTCTTCTTCAAGTGCAGTTTGTATGCCTTATTTTGATTTTCTCCTGTTACAGTAAGCTATCTAGAGTTTGCTGCCTTAATACGTGGTTTATCTTTCCCACACGCTCCATTTAGTTGGACAGAAGCAAATTTCTACAGCTTACGACCATGCCATTTTTAAAATGATCTTGATTTCATCTTCATGAGATGCATCAGTTATGAACTTTTTGTATTTTTCTGTATGATTGTGCTCTTTTGCCTTTTCCAGCTTTTGTTACCAAGGGTGATGAAATCACAAGAGAAAATACTTCTGTCTTGCTTTTTATTTCCTGCATCCAGCCTATATTCCAAATCTTCCTAAGTAGCTTGTTTTCATCAGTTCCTCTTTCCCTGTCCTCCTCTTGCCTTTGGTCACAAACCTTCTGCTGCCTCGATGTTTAGCACCTTGTCTGCTCCCAGCCAGAGTGAGATACTGACCCCATTTTTTTACCAGTGCAAAGGTTTCACACTGATTTCTGTCCCCAGAGGTCCATCACTGGAGGTAGACCAGGGACACTGTGTGCAGTACTGCATGGGATGGTCACACGCAGTTTCATTTAATAGTGGTTAGAGGTAGCTACAGCACTTAGGACAGATCCTCAGTGAATTAAACCATCTGTGAATGCCTCTGGATTTTGAACAGACAGGTTTCTGGCCCCTATGTTTTATAAAGACATTATGACTACATATACCCTACTAAATTTAACATTGCCGAAGCATGTTCCTGGATGTTGCAATTTGACCACCTTCATGGTTGAACAGTAGGGCAGTGGCTGGCGTGCTTTGTCCCAGTCTATATTCAGCTGTGCCGAACAACCTCAGCCACAGCTCAGGAATCAGTGTCAGCCAGGGATCATTTCCTGTGGGCAAACTGGGTATCTTTTGCCCTCTTTTGGAGAGTGAGAGAGTTTAGTGGCATGCACTAGGCTATTCCATGCCAGCTGGCCTCAGTCAGAGAATAGCTCCAGGCATGCTCAATTTACTACTGTAGCTATTGAGGATGTGGCGCTTGGTCCCTTGTCATCCTGGAGTGTTGTAGTGAGCCTGGAAACTGCACTCAAATCACCCCCCTTATGCTTAAACTAAAGGAAAGCACATCTGGCTTACGCCATAATTTGCCAGAAATTTTGCAGCTGAATAATTGGAGGGCATTCAGGGAGATTCCTGCAAGATTTGTCAACTAATTTTTTTCTGAAGTGTTCCCAAAACCAGGGATATTGCTGTGTGACAGTACTTTAATTGTCTCATTTTCATGAAACCCACCTTTATGTTTGTATGTTTTCAGACAATGACATGGCATCAGGGGATGGCAATTCTGTAAAAGAGGAATTCGTTAAGGAGAAAACTATTCGCTCTCCAGTAATGAAATGGCTAAATCCTCGCTGATATTTACTCATACTCATAAGACTTTCAAGTGAATGCATTTCTCACAGATTACTGAATATGCAACAACACACTTTAAGAACAAAGTAGATGTATAGCATATGAAAATGTAACCTCTGAAGGCAAATTGTTATTCTGTTTCCATGAGAAAAATGTTTACTTAAAAATAGACTGTACAGTGTATATGATTTTTAATATTTGTTTTGATAAGTATTTGAACAGAAATGTATTGTGGATTCCTGAATGTACAGTAATGTTAAAAAACCCAACACAATTCAACCCTCCTCATCTAAATAATGCCAGAGGCTGACTTTTGCAGCCTGAGGCAGGGAGAGCTCTCACTGAATTCAGTGGACAGTTTGAGTGAGTAAAACTATTGGTGTGGAGCCAATGTGAAAGGAACTCACATAAACAAATCCCAGGATAGCAAACAACACCCCTGAACCACAAGAATAATAATAGCATAGGAGCACAACAGTGTGAATTAAATAAACCAGTGTTAGTCATTAGTCGTTTTCTGGTTTTTGGAAGTTTGGTGACAATTCCTCAGAGATAAACACATCTTTCTTCAGTAAGAAAACACCCAGAATTTAAGTTTGTACATTGTGAATAATTTAAACAAGACACTGCAGCCATATATTGTATTTAGCTGGATTTCTAAAGTTAAATTCTGTACAGAGAAGCAGCAGCTTGGTAAATTCTACAATTTGTAGATGGGGATCTGAAAAGAAACAAGCTGTTTAGCATTATTTAAATATATATGTTTCTGTAAAGTAGCTACTATGGTGTGTTAAGGTGATGTCTGCATTTCATGGGGAACAATGGGTCCAATGCCAGAGCCTAGCAAATGAACCTTTGTAATTTCCATCTTCATTGCTGGCTGCAGCCCATCTGCCACTCACAGGGAGTTCATCTGGTTCAGTGCAGGGAAGGCTTGGACCTTCATTAAGTGGTAGTAGTGCCACCACAGCCTATAGTACATAGTTTCTTACTTGCATGAGCAAGCGGTCCCATTTCTAAAGGCATTCCCAATGCCTTTAGAGAGTCCAAATCCTGATTCAAAGCCAGCATTAGTGGGTGCAGGCTGCCTTCACATGGGAAAGCAGTGCTGAAAAGTGCTCTAGAACAAGAGAATGATGACAGTGGTAGACACCCAAATGTCAGCATATCAGTGAAGGCTCTCTTACGGTGATAACTGGACACACACAGACAAAAATCTTAAAATAGCATATACCAGATTTAAATGTGTGCTGAATGGTTAGGTCTGAGAGGGAGCAACATTATCTTGGGCTATTTACAAGCAAGCATGTTGATTCTGGCCTACTGTTATCAAAATCAATTTTTCTTGATTTCAGTGAGAGCAGGATCAAACCCATGGTCCTTCAGCAGACTGAAGAGAATTATTTAAAGAATGTAGTAAATATTTGCATACATTATTATTATTTTGCAATAGTGTCATAAATGACATTACAAGTTCTTGAATGTATATGTAATAAGCTGGTTGATTAAAAAAATTGTATGATTATTATTGTTCAATAAAAAAAAACCCTGAAAGCATTGCTGTCTATTTTTCCTATCCATTAATGGCAGAGTCAGACTGCTGGTGATGGCACAGCCATGGTGCATGCAGAGTAGGTACACTTCCACAGAAACCTTTTCTCAATGGCTGCACCTGTTTCAGGGAATTTTCTGGGCACCGCTCTCCATTGCTGAAGCTGAGTAGTGGCCCATGTTCAGAATGGTTTGTGTCCATACCAAACATGACCTCCAAAACAAGGTGGCTGGATCCAGATTGCCTACTGGGGACAGCTCCTTCCTGGCCTACTCCAATACAGGAAGAGTCTGGGAGTCTTGCTGGCGCAGCCACCACCATGCCAGGGACCATTTAGCCCTGGGGCAGTGACTGCTGCTCCTTGGCACTGCTTGATTTATCATGTAACCTGTGGATCCACACCTGGTAAGTCAGGAGAAAGGAGAAAGAGGAGAGGGAAGCCTGTAGAATTTTTTTGGATGGAGGTTCCAGGATGAGCTTGTAATCAAATTTTATTCTTTGAAATGTCTGCCTGTTGCTACTAGTGGCAATGGGACTACACTGGTAGAAGAAATAATGCAAATGATCATGGAATCATAGAATAAGTTGGAAAAGACCTTTAAGGTCTTTGAGCCCAACCATTAACCTGACACTGCCAAGCCACCATAAACCCCGTCCCTAAGTGCCACATCCACGCATCTTTTAAATGTCCCCAGGGGTAGTGACTCCACCACATCCCTGGACAGCCTGGTCCAGTGCTTGCAAACATTTCAGTGAAGAAATTTTTCCTAATACCCAGACTAAACCTCCCCTGGAGCAACTTGAGGCCATTACCTCTTGTCTTATTGCTTGTTCCTTGGGGGAAGAGAGTGGCCAGCTTCTAGCTTCATCTTCCTTTCAGGTAGTTGCAGAAAGCGATAAGGTCCTCCCCGAGCCTTCTCTTCTCCAGACTGAACCCCCCCCCGGTCCCTCAGCTGTTCACCATCACACTTGTGCTCCAGACCCTTCACCAGCTCCGTTGCCCTTCTCTGGCCCTGCTCCAGCACCTCCATGTCTCTCTTGTAGTGAAGCCCCCAGAACTGAACACAGGATTAGAGGTGCAGCATCCCCAGTGCCCAGTATAGGGTTAGATGATCACTGCCCTGTCCCTGATGGCCACACTATTGCTGATACAGGCCACGATGCTGTTGGTCTTCTTGTCTGCCTGGGCACAAGCTGGATCATGTTCACCTTCATCAATCAGCAGCCCCAGGTCCTTTTCCATGAGCAGCTTTCCATCCACTCTGCTCCAGGCTTGAGGCATTTCATGGGGTTGTTGTAGTCCAAATGCAGGACCCGGCACTTTGCCTTTTTGAACCTGATACCATTGGCCTCAGCCCATTGATCCAGCCTGTCCAGATCCCTCTGCAGAGCCTTCCTACTCTCAAACCTCACAAGTTTATTGAGGGTGCACTCAATCCCCTTATCCAGGTCATTGATAAAGATATTAAATAGGACTGGCCCTTTAGGATTGCCTCCCAAAGGACAGGAAGTGACGCTTATGGAACCAAGGGTTCTTCACAGGCCTCTTTTTTTATTTCCTACCCCTTTATCTTTCTACCTGTCCCTTCACATCTTTCCTGGCTCGCCATTGAACACTCAACTCACTGCCCCTGTGGACTGTGTTTTAAACTTTTTTCCTTTCTTAACTCTGTGTTCCAGACATTGCCTTCTCACCTAACCTTTCCTGCCCACACAAACCTGGAGGTAGCCACAGATGCTCTTCTCTTCTGGGGAAAAAGCCATAAGATGGTTCATCATACAAAGTTTCTAGTTTCTAAATTTATTCTGGGGAGGTTATATATTATTTCCAGTATAAATGTGTTTGGCAAACAGGCCTTTTTTCTAGTAGGTATACTTTTCTCAACTACTAAACAGTAAACTAGTAATATACAAACTGCCTCTTATTTTATATTTAATATGAAGTGACAATAATAAGAAATATGTGGTAATGCAATATTATAGCTTCTATTATAGCCTGTATTATAGGATGTTGCAGTCCCCATTACATTTCAGACAATATACAATCATATATTTCAGAGTGACATCTGAAATATACAGAAAAGTCTGAAACACATGCATTCCATTATTAAAATTACAATATGTAATAAATATATTTCTAGTGTAGACCAACTTTTAATGAAAAAAAGCTTTATCAGTTTCAACCGCAAAACATGTTTACCATACTTTAATGTACAATTTCATTACATAAATGCATTCAAACAAGTATTGTGAGATGTATTGTGGCCTAATCACCAGGCTGTGATTAACAATATAAATTTGCCACTCTGATCTGCCAGGATACATGTATTAGACCAAAACCACCACGGTATGTATTTTAAATTAAAATATATTTATTATCACCTCTGTACATGCTTGCTATCTGTTTAAAAGGACTGTCAGGTCGTAGCAGTGCTTTGAAAGTATTTCCTGACACCTGCGAAGTTGGTAAATATTTCCTGGTTTTGTTGTGTCTGCTGAAAATAGGAATTTTACAAGTAGGACTGATAACTTGACAGGCACCACAATGTCCAGTTTGGCACGTCTTAGCGTGGTTTCCACTGGGGTTTGTGACAGTCCAAGGGAACTTGGGATGACAAACTCAAGTGCTCTGGCTTTCTTGCCCTTCTGAAATAGGCACCAGAGCTGTTCAAGTGTAGTCAATTGTCCATCTGTCTTCAGTGTGGATAACAGGCCATGTACAACACCTCTGCATGGCTCATGTTTGCAGAATGGACAAGTACAGCAAGTAATAGGTGTTAATGCAGTGAGGCCCTAACTCATCTCCTGGCGCAGCAGCTGCCACTGATCCCTGTGCCTGTGCTGGGTTCCTTGCCTATGGCTGGGGTGGTTGGTGCACCCATGCCCAGAGAGCCCGGCTCTCCTGCAGGCGCTGGCTGGAATCTGGCCCCAGCAGCCTTGTATCCCATATGCTGCTTCCTGCAGGATTCTCAGGGCAGGCAGATGCTCTGTGTAAACAATTAAACCTGTGTTTGGATGAAGAAGAAGACAGAGATTTCCTTAATCTTGTTAGTACATGATGCTCCTGATCCTCCCTGATCCCCTCCCATTCATGGTGCTACCAAAGGAGCTGCAACTCAGATTCGTGTGCTATTGCTTTCTAATTTTGGAAGCTGTCAAGTAAACATTCAACTGGAATTAAGGGCAACAGTTGTTAATGCATGAACTGATGTTCACCATTCTAACGAGACAGATTAACTTCTTGAAATGACATAACTGATGCAACCTTTCTGCTCTGCAAATGCTGAGCCTAAAAAATCGTTATTTGATAAACTGAGACAAGTGAAATCATACCAACATTACTTGAAAATGTCATTCTTCCTCACAAGAGAAACATCTATTTTTGAAGAACAAATAATGGATTGGAATGCCATTGAAATCCAAACACAATATTAGTATGTTCCTGAAAAAAAAGGTACAATGCTGGGGGAGAATGCACCAGAGCCCTTGCAGCTGTGTCACACTTTCCTGTTTGTTATTTTTAGTTTTCCATTCCTGCTCTTTATTTTGGGCTTTGCTTTGCTTCCTATGCAGCTTCCCTTTAACTCCTGTATAGCTCCGTCTTACATATTTCAGGCACTTGGCTTTTCTTTTTTTTCCTTCTCTTTTTTTTGGCTTCAAAGGAAACCCAAGCTGCACTGTCCACTTTCAGGAACTCCTGTTTCTCTTGGCAGTGGTTGAGTTCTTGGTTTTCTAAAGGCATTTAGGAAATGTACATTGCTAGTTTTCAGCTTTGAACATGCTCAGGCTTTGTAAGCATAAGAAAAAAGCATCACACAAGAAGAGCCTGAGTCTGCCCTTCAGTATATGCTGGTCTTTGCACATGGGAAACCACCAGTGTCCAGTCCCACATTAAAGTTCCAGAATGGCATTTAATAAATGAAAGGAACAAAATGGGCTCTTGTGAAACACTGCATTACAGAGAAATCACCTCTTGCACTCCCTTACCCCCACCTTGCTTTTACATTGACATATTTGTAATACTGTACAGCCATACAAGATGATCTGCAGAACAGGAAATGTTATCACCTCTTAAAGCCATACCACAAACCTTACATTACCAATCGCTCTGCTGGTGGCCTAGGACCTGTCTGCACAGCAGCAACCAGGAGCCCCAGCTGATGTTTAAAAGCATAGAAGGTTTTTCTGGGGAAAGTTTTATTTCCGACACAACAAACCTCAGTGCAGGGAATGCACTTCATTGCAGGTGTGCACCCAGAGACACAGCAGCCACACGCACGTCAAAAAGGTGTTAAAAGTCCACCAAACCAAACCCTTCGAGATTTTGACACTGATTTCATGATTTCCTGGGACTTGGCTCCCAACTGAGACTGAAAGCTTGGGGCTGGCAGTATTGATACTGACCAACAGAAGGTACAGAGCACACAACAAAGGACGGTGAACAGTGAAAGCGTTTGCT